CAGAACTTTCATATGGGTGAAAGGTTGTTCAATCAGTGATTTGCTGACCAAAGTGGAAAAATGGGAGGGACGGGTAGTTATGACCACATCAATATCTGCTCCGAGCTTTCGATTGAGGATTTGTAGGACTGAGCCAAATGATTTTGTATTGAGGTTGGCTGACGTAAATTCATCGAAGCCATCCAAAAGAAGCAGCACCTTTTTAGGATTCTTGAAGATGAAACTTTTCAGATGGTTCTTATCGATGACGTTTTTGTCGATGAGTTGATCAAAAAGAGTGTCCATAAAATCTGACGTTTGATCCAGTGCATTCATGTTCAGAACATACACCAGTTTGTACTTCGTTGTTGTTTTGCAAACGCCAAGCGCCCAGTCGTGCGCAATTTTACATATTAGTGTTGTTTTTCCCAGACCGGCCTCTCCATTATAAATGATACGATTGATAACGGAACCATCTTCGTTTTCCACGAGGAAAGTATCCTCATACAACACCTCCTTCCCCCTTTCGTCGTTCTCATCATCATCATCATCATCATTACTAACTAATCGTACATTTGTGTATATTTTCTTGATATGCATCATGTCATCATCAATCAATGGATTCATTTGCACGTAACTGCCCGTGGTTGTGTATACCCGTTTAAGCGCCTCTTCACACATATCCGCTGCAGCGTCTGCTGCTGCATCTGTGGCTGGGCTGGTATCTGGGCTGGTATCTTGACTGGCTCTTGTCGATGGACTGCAGACCGCAGGTTGGATGTGTTGTACACGGGGCTGATCGTTTGACATGCCTCCTGTTGAAAAAGCACAACAACACAGAAAATAACATAGGTGAAATGATCAGGCGTTAAACGGATAAGAAAAAAAACCCAAATAATATCTTCACCCCACAATATTGGAGGGCGTGGATAAAGGGTACGTAATTATGTATTTGTTTCTGAATAAAGCGACTTGATTTGTATGGCTTGCATTACTTCTTTGGCGTTGTGGAACATGAAATTTTAAAACAATACACTTGTTAAAAAGTATGCTCTGTTCCAATACGTTAAACAATTCCACCAGGTATAGATAATACTACGGTGTTTTCAACAATTTGTGCATCTTTCCATTTTGTACATCATGGCATATTACTGCACTGAGACTCATTAGACAACTGGCACTAACATCGTCATCTGAATGATTAAACATCAGCAATTTCAGAGGCATTTTAAACGCAAAACCCAACTGGCAAAGTTAAGGCAACCCTCTCCGTTTGGATTTTAATTCATACCAGCTGTTATAAATATGAGGAGCGGTTACCTTGAACTTGAACATAAAGCCACGCAAGAAGTGAAACTATTTTACCTGCTGTCGCTCCCGGGACTGTCACATTCTGAGTGTATGTGTAATGGAACGTATTCCCAGTAGCTGGAGCCAAAAAGGCAGGACTACAGCTGCCACCGATGTTGACATCTCTGACTGGTACAGCTGGTTGAAGGTAACCAGACGAATGAGAACATACAGTAGACGGATGCTGCATGGCTGAATGGAGAGCTGAGGGTACCAAGTCTCGCACTGTACAGATAGAGAATAGTACAGAGAACATGGCTCATAAACATAGAGATAAACTGAAGCGAAGGGATGACGGGAAAATGTTATACAATGGATAGGAAACCTTCACACTCGGATCCCTCGGCCACTCATTCTGGGGTTTTTTCTTTTCAACTTGAACGTGACAAGTCAAATTTTACGCGTTGCGGAAAGCAAGTGCTTTGATACAACAAATCTGAACGTTATAACATAGGGTAGTTCTCGTGTTTGTTGTAACGACACTAACATGGACCTACATTGATTCCCGCCAGAGTGTCTGACTTCGTAAATGTCTGATTGATAGAATCAGGCAACAATAACCGTATTGTTCACAATAATTTTCGAAATAAACATGCAATAGTAACAGTAGTTTTCACAGTTTATTCGACTTGACTATATGCTCTAAATAAGCCAGCACCTTGGATGTTTTCATGTGATTGATTCTCCTTGTCTACTCCCTCAGGTTTATCACTGTGCCTCTGTCCCTGTATGTCTTGCTCGGGTAATGTCACCACCTCTTCCTGGGAGCTATGCTTCACTGCTTCATGTGTTGACTGAACCTTGGGCCGGGCAGAGGCAGGCAGAAGATCACCAATCTGCTTCTGTATCATTCCCGGTTGCTCAGGTAACGTCAGCACACTTTGTTGGACCGCTGCCAGTGTCTGCTTTTCTTCCTGATGAATATTTACGTGATGACTGACCTGCTCCTGTTCACTTGACTTTCTTGTCCTCCTTGGATCCTTTTCAGTCCATGTTCGTGAATTCCCTGAAGATAAGTTAAAATTACGAACACAGGTAGGTCTATATCAAGTTTGGTTTACTACGATTTACTACTACTATTTGATTTACATCACCCCGACGCCAAAAAAAATGCCATCTTATGAATAAGAATGACTACTACTAATTTGAGGTTAGGAAGTCACTTGGTGGGTTATGTTATTGCTTTTTATTGGTTCTTCACAGGGGTTTAGTTATACTGAATTCCGACCAAATCTTGAATGAATAAATTCAGTTAATCAACTTAATTCTATGAAGCTATATATGACCATTAACCGACTTGAATACACGTGGAATTAATTTGTCTATGTCTGGGTTAATGGGGCGCTGGGGTCCAATGGTAACGGTGTTCGACTGGTGTGCCGTGGTACATGGGTTCGAATCCTCACCGTGAGAGCATGGTGCTTGTGCTCCTGAGCAAGGCACTTTACCATTATTGCTTCGTCGTTCGGGATGTAAAGCCGTAGGTCCCGTGTGTTGTGTAAAGCACGTTAAAGAACCCAAGAACACTTATCGCTAAGAGAAGGGGTTTGCCCCGGTGTTTCTGGTAGTGGCTGCAATATGCGCCGCAGCACCTTGTAAACCCTTGTAAAAGTGCTACATAATTGGTCTTATATTTCTCATGTGCTTCATTTAACTGTCTCTAATATAGACATAATTTTCAGCACCTTGAGTGCTTCATTGTTGGTAGATACGTGCACGACTTCGGTATTATTAATTATAAGTATATGGTACATGTGGCCATCAACTTTCCACTATCCAAAAAAGAAAGTCTTGATATACCCCTTGTATATTATAAGCCAATCGTTAGCTCTGCACTGACATTGTGTTTATTTCTATGAATACATGAACGTGTAAAAGACTTACCTGCTGATGTCTGTTCATCGTCAGCTCCGCCTTTCAACCCCGACACGAAGCGTAGCTCTATGTTAGCATCTTGCTCAATCGCCTGATCTTGGAGGGGAACCCCATCGTGAAGCTGAAAACAAAATCATTATACAAGTGTCTTCAAGTGAATAATGATGATCCATCCAAGACCTTTCAAAACTGAAAAGCCCTGATTGCTTGCTAGAGTAACAAAAGTATGAGACATGAAATCTTAGAATAACCAGTTTAAATTAGAAATTACCTCGTGGTGTTGTCTGACAAAAAGATGCTGCTTCTCTGGTTCAATCCCAAGTTGGTCTTGAAGATTTTCTTTTAAGGCTGATGTAAGAGTTGATGGATGCAGTTGCAGACATATTGGTCCTATCAAAGAACTATTCAAAAACAGCTGGATTGGACGTTCAACCTTCTCTTTACAGAATGATTTCTGGGCAGCATTTCCTTGTTCCGTTCTTGTCTTTGTTCTTCCTATAATGTGTGCAAAATAACATTTTACCTTATTTTTTTTAGTGTTTAACTTAAATAAGAAAATAAAATAAATCTGGAGTTATCTCCTGTTAATAAATGAAATAATTTGAGTATTTCAGAGGCCGTGAAGGGGCAATGTGTAAGAGGCTCTTTATTGCAAGCAAAACTGGAGTCGAATGGTCCATGATTATCGACCCATATAAAAACCACACTTAATATGTTTTTTTACCGGGCGGTACTTGTAGCATTTCCTTGGATGGACTATCTTGATGATTAGTTTGCTTCTGTTTCCATGCTTCTTGCCCAGAAAGTGCCCTCTTCTCTTGTAGGCAGCACTCTTCTCTCGTGGTTTTGGATCTTCTTAGATCGCCAATCTTCTCCAGGCAGCCTTCATCTGATCTTCGTTGCTTCGACGATGTCGACATCTCTTCTTGACAGATTTGTTCCCTGACCATGGCGCCTTGCTGCTTCCCTGTTTGAGGTCCGTCTGGATCACAAGTCTGCTCCTCTCCATGTTTCTCTTTCTTTGATGATAGCGCCTTTACTTGTTTAAAGCTCTTATCACTGTTCATTTCCATTTCCCCATTCTCTTTCTGATAATATTCTGCATAATCCTCTCCGGTTTCATAACTTTCTTTCTCCTGGGATGTCAGTTGAAAGTCTTTGACCCCTGTTACTTCCCGTATCTCTAGCTGAGGACTTTCTTGTTCATCTGTCAGTCTCTGCTCACGCGATGTCTCCGTTTCTTGTCGGTTGGTTTCCTTTCCATCATCCTTGCCTTGCTGTTTCTTCTGCTGAAGACTGTCTTTGCAATCCTCCATTTTACCAGGTGCCTGGTTTTGGGGGACCACATGGCATTCTTAAAAGCACAACAATGATAAGTACAATTCATTTCTAAAACTTCTGTGTCTTTGGAAAGATTGCGAGTCAAGCAAGGCTGAAAAAAATATCTTGCTATTCCAAATAAATATGATGAGTACCTGAAAAAAATACAATCTTGAGAAGAGAAAATGAAAGAAATTACTTACAGAATTGCCTCACCTGACATGCTGTGGAACCTTTATTCAATAAATTAAAATCATATTTAATGCCCAGGACAAATAATCGCCCTGATTGAGACTGCATGTAAAACGAACAGAACATCTTACCAGAATTGGATTGGTCAGTAGCGGCGATATCGATTGACGAGTAAATCGAGGAATCCTTCGAGTTCACTTTATCTTCATTATGAAGACATGGGTCCGCATTAACAGATGGAGATTTCTTGGCTGCTCGTCTTCTTCCTTCCCTTGTCTTTCTTCTCATCTTCGTCATTCTTGTCTTTCGTGTTCTTCCTATAAGATCAAACAAACAGGAGTTGTCAAGATATCTACGTATAGTCTGCTTGGAATGAACTACGCCCCTGAAAATGAATTAGTCAGAATAGAACTTTTATGCCAGTCTTTCATGATCCTTTTAGTTCCAGGTTTTATTATATATTTTTTCGAGTATGTTATTTGTTTTTTAGATAATGTCAGCCCTTATATTCTATATTTTACATTCATTATTTAAAACATTTTTTTTGTAAATCGTGAACAATTCGGCCTTCTGGTCACCACACGAGCTTTAAATACACCAATAGTAATAATAACAATGGTAACTTATGGCTGTCTCAACTGTTATGCAGTTGCGACAGTTCACAGCATCACCCGATGATGTCCATCAATCATTACATCAAGTTCAAGATTAAGATTTACCTGCTGATTTCTGTTCACCGACAGCTCTGCCCATCAGCCAGGATACCAGGTGTATCTATATGTTAGCATCTTGCTCATCACGGGGCTTGAAAGGGAAAAATTCAACTTTTTTAATCAAGTGAATAGAAACGATCCATTCAATACATTTTAAGGCTATAAGCGGGTAATTGCAAGCTATACAGCGACACAATTATGGGATAACGAATCTGAGATTAACAGACAAACGTTACCTTGTCGTGTCGTCTGGTGAAACGATGTTGCTTCTCTGGATCAACCCCAGATTGGTTTTGAAGTTTTCCTTTCAAGATTGTGATAAAAGTCTGGACGCATTTGTAGACGTATTGGTCCCATCGAAGTACTATTCACAAAGAGCTGAATCTGGCGTTCTTTGTTCTCTTTACATGCAGGCTTCTTTTGAGCGTCTGTTCGTTCCCTTCTTGTATTCGTTTTTCCTACAACGTAGATAATAACAAGTGTAATTTGAACACATCATTTGTTTTTAACATTGATTAGATAGCTGACTTTACTATGAACTTAAGAATATTTTTCAGATACTCTCAAAATTCATCTGCTGTACATGTTGAATCAGCGAACTTAGTATTTCTAGTGACATTCAGGGGAACGTTTTAAAGACTCGATATAAGATGCTGAACATAGAGGAAAATATCCCAACATCACAAGGTATATTTACCTGAAGGTACATGCATATTTCCCTTTGACGGACGATCTGTATGATTAACTTGCTTCTGTTTCCGTGTTCCTGGAGGTGGCTTCTTCTCTTGAAGGCAGCTCTGTTCTTTCTTAGTTTCGAATCCTTTTAAATCTCCAACCTGCTCAAGTGTGTCTTTAGCCGATCTTTGTTGCTTTGACCACGTCGTCATCTCTTGTTGACAGATATGTTCCCTGACCATTGCGCATTGCTCTTTCTGAGGCCCGTCTGGATCACAAGTCTGCTCCTCTCCATGTGTCTCTTTCTCAGGTGATAGCGCCTTTGCTTTCTTAAAGCTCTCATCACTGTTCTTTACCGTTTCCCCATTCTCATTCTGACAAGCGTCTGTATGCTCTCTTACATGTCTTTCTTTCTCATGGGTTGTCAGTTGAGACTCTTTACCTTTGACTCCTGTTACTTCACAGCTCTCTGGCTGAGAACTATCTTGTTCATCTGTTAGTCTCTGTTGCTCACGCGATGTCTCTATATCTTCTAGGCTGATGTCCTTTCCACCACCCATGCCTTGCTGTTTCTTCTGCTGAAGACTGTCTTTGCAATCCTCTATCTGACCAGGTGCCTGATTTTTGGGGACCACATAGCATTCTAAAAGGACAATGATGTTAAGAACAATTAATATCTAAAACTGTCACTGGAAAGACTGCGAAACGAGCATTTAGTTCCATTCCTGACTTATGGGATCAAATCCACTTGCCATTCCAAATAAATATATATGAGTTACTGAGAAACTATATCTTGAGAAGAGATAATTAAAATGACTTTGCTCAGTCTGAGATGGTATGAGATACCTAAAACGAAGCACCTTTAAGGAAACCGGGGGGGAAAATGAGGAGAAATAAATTACCCCAAACAAGCAGAACATTTACCAGATTTGGATTGCTCAGTGGCGATGGCATCGTTTGACGAGGAGATGGAGGAATCCTTCGAGTTCACTTTTATATCTTCATCATTAGGACATGTGTCGGCATTAACAGATGGAGACTTCTTTGCAGATGGTCTTCTTCCTTTCCTTGTCTTTCTTGAAACCTTCTCCGCCATGCCTGTTTTCCGCGTTCCTTCTGTAAATACAAATAACAAATGGGGGTTGTGATGACATTATGTCTGTAGTCTGCATGAAATAAACTAAACCACTGAAAATTATATAACTCAGAGTTAAAGGAATTTTTACCAGGTTTTGATGGCTTAGTAATGGCTGTCTCAACTGCTGGTGGGTTGCAAGTGTTTCTAAGATCATCCGAGTTCAGATGTTCATCCCCTTGGGAGGTAGATATGTTGGTCTTCTTCTCACACAAAGATGCTTGGCCAGCGTTTCTTCCAGTTTTTGTGTTCCTCCTCCCTACGACAGAAACGAAATTTACTTTCAATCATCAAGACTTTGGAATCATAACAAGTTTTCGGCCTATATAGTAGCAAAAAAACGGTATTTTACCTCGCTTCTCGAGCTCTTGATCAGGCAAGCTTGTTTTTCCATTGGGTGCTGCCTCAGATGAGTTTCTGGTAGCTGCGCCTTTTCCTTTTGCCGTCAACATTATATCATTCTCTTTCCTGCTTGACATTCGGCTTCTCTCTGAGAAGACAATAAAACAAATATAGCTTTGAAAACAGTTTCATCAAAATTCTCAATAATCAACAAAACCACTGATCTTTAACATGCTTGAAGTGCCGCAATTAATCTTAAGGAGATTGAGGAATCCCAAGTATACCATATAAGATTTGGTGGTCTTCATCACCCAGACTTGTCTTACCATTGATATCCGCTTCAGACTGGGATTTCTTGACACCTTTTCTTGTTCTCTTCCTCGTCCTCTCCGAGTCCTTGTCTGTCATTGCCTTTTTTGTTTTCGCTTTTCGTGTTTCCCCTGCCGAGTTTGTACCAGATGTATTAACTCCTGAAGGGGTGACAGAATCTCCACATTCATCTGACTTATCTTGCATGTTTTCATCCTGGCTTTCCTCTCTCTCAGAATCTATTTTCTTGTTAACTTTTCTTTTTCCTTTTCTAATCTTCCCCGATTCCTTGTCAGTAAATTTCCTCCTATTCCCTAAAGGCAAAAAAAAAAATCAAAAAGTAACTTTATTTGAAACGTATATTTCAAAGTCAGAATAGTACAACATGTGTTAATACTTTATTAATTAATGTGTATGCACTGCATGCATCGCATAGCCTATACCAGTTAGCTATACGATCATAAGGAAGAGACTTTACCTTTTGATTTGCTGTTAGCGATGACAGCCGATGACTTGGATAGAGTGGAATCGCTTGAGCCATGTGAGATCTCTTGCTCTTCATTACCTGTGCCTGTGTTATCATTGGTTTCTTTTTCTGTGGATGGGGAATTCTCGGCAGCTTTTCTTCGCCTTTTTCTTATACTCCCTGAAAACAAAAAATGCCACCATTTTAAACGTCTTTGATCGATTGCTAGCAAACATCAGATGTTGAGCAGTTGGGGTACGAGATTTGTTTCTTTTTGGGAACTCTTTACCCCACAGGCAAAGATCCAGAACGGTGTTTTATAGCCAGCCTGCAAAACTCAAATTTATTACTCTTTAACTGAAATTTAGTACACTCTTTTAGTTCACTAAATAATGAAAGGGCTTTTAAGTTAATCGATAATTGATCGAAATGCACATACTGAAATTTAACGAAAAATGAGTGTTTTACCAGACTTAGATTGATTACTGGCGGCTTCAACTCCTGAAGAGGTTGGACAATCTCCTGCTTCCGCTTTGTCTTCATCACATGACGTAGTCTGTCCAGATGGAGATTTTCCGTTTGCTTTTCCTCTTCTTCGTCTTGTTCTCCTTTTCGCTACGAAATATAAATCATGGAGAGGGATTCAGAAAGGGACCACCTTAATATTTCACCAAGATGTTAAGAGATTGGGTCCTTTTAAGCAAGCCACAGGAATGCATGCGTTCCGAAAGGCTTTAGAATTTAAACCACTCGTGACAGGGCAAATCAAAGTACTAGTATTTTACCATGTTTGGCTGTAGAGGTAGACGAGCAGCCCGATTCGCCTGATGGAACTTGCTCTTCACCACATGAAGATGTTTGTAGCAGAGTGTCTTCTGAAGCCGAGTTAATTGTGGGAATCAAACGAAGAGAACAGATGCTCAGGATGATTGTGATCAGTGCGAGGTGCAGAATTTATAGCAGTAGGTTGAGTATACTAGTCTTGACGGAATGTTGTCTGTTGCATCGGATGCTGATTGGGTTTTGGAATCTCTCGTATAATCAGATTTTCCGTGAAGATACCCCTGCCAGGTTATGTTTTTCTCATAAACATGATATTTTCTTGTCTATCATTTCTTGTTTTTTCGTCTTCTCTAAATATGCTGAATTTGTAACTGTTTAGAAAAGTCCTCAAAATAAACTTTACTGGGCACTGAGCATGTATCAGGAAGCTAGTTTACCTTTTGATGGGTTGCTTATTTCTACCCCACCTGTTGAATAAGTAGATGAACCCTCTGAGTGATTTGAGTTGACGGCATCTTTATTACCCAAAGTATGATTTTTGTCTTTCTCTTCTTCAGATGAAGATTTGCAGCCCGACTGCCTCTTTCTTCTTCTCTTCTGTTTCCCTGCAGGTTGAGACGTGAAAGGTGTCTGTAAGACAGCCAGCTCTGCATACAGATAGTGTGCGTAACCCTATATGTAGAGCCTCACCTGTTAATATATGTTGATCAGCTCAATAAATCAACCTGTGTGACATGACATCAAGAGCGGATCCAGAGCACAATTTGTTTGTGGTGGGCCAACAAAATTTTGGTCCCCCAAAAAGTGGGTCCCAGAAAATTACGGCTGGCTTTGGGCCCGCTTAAGGAGCCTTAAAAAAATTGGATTCTAGATGCTCTGTGGTACGATCTGAGGCAATTTCTGACCACTTTAACCTTTTTTTTTTGGAGGAAAAGATGGTGGTGTACTCATTGCCTGTCTTTATTGCAACGTCCCTTTACAAAAAAAATTGGTTCTTTTTTTTTTTTTGGGGGGGGGGGGGATGGGGCATGGTCCCCTTTGCCCTTCTCCCCCCTTCACCTGGATCCGCCCTTGCATGACATGAATATATGTACAGAAGTTACCTGCTGATTTATGTTGATAGCTTCCATTCATCAAGTCAGACACTAGGCGTAAGTCTATCTTGGAATCTCGGACAATCCCATGGTCCTTTAGTGAGAATTCATCGCGAAGCTACAAGAAATGATACAGAAGCATTTTTTTTCCTGAAAGATCGACAAATGAATAAACCATGGTAACCCTATCATAACAAACATGCAAGTAATTCGTGTAGGGAAGGGAAAACACAATAAGAGTTGTGTTTGTTTCTTTAAAATGAAAATGAACATTGTAAGTCCAGATTTACCTCATGATGTCTCTTTGTGAATAGATTTTGCTTGTCTGGTTCAATTGCCAGTTTTTCTTGTAGTAATCCTTTCAAGGCTGAGATAGTGGTGGAAGGATACAGCTGCAGACACAGAGGTGACCTTGAAGAGCTTCTCACGAGCAGCTGGATCTCACTGTGAAAACGTAACAAATAGGTCCAAAGAGGTTGTATTGATGAGACAGTTTGAAGACACTCTTGCTGTCACCTTGTTATGTGTTAAGGCCGCGAGTACTTTTTTGTGTTTCGTAATTCACTTTTCAAGAGAAAAAAAATAATATTAAGCATGGCACTCTTTGGACCATATCGGCATATCACCAGTGCATCAAACAGCTAACTACCTGCTTTGAGCATTCTCGGCTGAAGTTGCCCTTAGATTGCACGATGGTGATGAAGACGTATCCTCGAACTTGTTCCGGGAAAGCACGGACAGAAATATCGTCTTCCTAGACTTTCGGATCTTTCTCTTTCTTGTGACCATCTTGGCCAGCGAGTGATCGTTGATGACCCGAGCAGCCCTCTTGGCATCCTCTAAGTCTGCGAGGGTCCTCAAAGGTACCAGAAATTCACCCTTAAGAGACAAATACATAAAAAATATTGAGATCTACGAGTATACAAAGATTATGGAACACGAGCCAGGGGCATCTTCTTTTCGAGTTCGGTACCGGAAAAAGGTTTGTTGATGATCCGAGGTGCCCACTTCGGCATCATAAAACGTTTTTTCACGTTTTTCACGTTATCAAGTCTGCAATTAGGCCAACAATTGTAGTTATGTACAAGTGCAAACACAGATACTTGTTATATGTTTGCTACCAACTTATTGTTCATTACCGCTTTGCTGTAGGGACCTGCACCACTAACACATTCTCCATAACATTGAAACAAGAACGCATGATGGTCATCATCAGAGTGAGTACTATATTGCACTCACATTTGTCACGGTTTTCATTACTAATACTATTTCCTTACCATTATTGTTACGTCTGCAGTCTGATCAGGTCAGGTTGAAATTATCTCAAAATTGGAAGAGTCCTATCGATGAAACTGGATAATCCTTTGTAGCCAATACCTCCACAATGTTCCTTTACAAATGCAGAATAGAACAGAAGCTCTGCTGGGAATCCTGAAACAAATTGTATAGTAATTCATTATCTTTGTAGACCTACATAGATGTGACCATAGACAGTCAAACTTGCACCTTGATGACCGTGGCTGTAGTCAGCTGGATGCAACATTGACTGTGAGTTGTCACTCTGACTGGCGTGTAACAATACAGCCACACTTCCGGCGTGTTGTCAGAGGTGTGCAGTACAGAACAGAGTGTGCAAAACAGAGTATGCTACCTCAACGTTATCGTTTCTCTCGTTTAATTTGCGGATTATGCAGAGGCAAAGCCCCTGGACGATTTCTGGATGTGGAGGGAGTCGGCTCGTCGATGGGGGGGGGGGGGGGGGGGGGGGGGGAGGCACATAGGATATACCATTGACTTTGGTATTGGAACTCACTACTGCATGTGTTTAAAACTTACCTTCCTTAAAGCCACGTACAGTATCATTTCTTATTAACCAGGATAGTACCTTCACCCGATTTAATGGCATTCATTAAAATGAAAGTAGGACTATTATATCAAATAATGTATGAAAGTCTTCCGCCTGAAACGCTTTTGGAAGAAAACATTGAAAGTTTTTGCACAAAACTGGCACACTTTGTACGTGCATTATAGCAATATAAACCAGTTTTCGGTTCTTTTTTTTGGGGGGGGGGGGGTTTCAAAGCGAATAGTTTGTTTGTGTTTGTTTAATCTGCATGTTGTCAGGGAACGCCCACGAAAAATGCTGAAGGAAAAAACAATGCCTCCAACCCAATTACATCCTCGGACCGGCGACTAAACATACGGACTAAAAAGTTCGTTTTGGTGGAAATTTGCCGCCGGGACAACCGATTGTCCCACTCTGCTCAATAAAGTACAGCCAAAAATTACTTTTGATGAAAAAAATAAACGACGCTGTTAAACGACCCTGACTCGGGGAAACCTTTTTATCATTGTTGCAAATCTGATTACCTTACTGTTTGGCTAACGCTGCCTACAAACAATACTTTTCAGTGATTTGTTTTCTCTCATAAAATTTAATTAAATATGGCACAGTTGCTATAATTTGTTAATTTCATTGGGGAAATATTCCTACGAAAGCCCATTAGCGCCACTGCAAGTATATATGTTGCGGATTATTTAATTCGTTATTACGGATTATTAATTCGTTATAACGGATTATTAATTCGTTATTACGGATTACTAATTCGTTATTACGGATGATTAATTCGTTATAACGGATTATTTAATTCGTTATTACGGATTACTAAATCGTAAGGATTATTAATTCGTTATAACGGATTATTTAATTCGTTATTACGGATTACTAATTCGTTATTACGGATGATTAATTCGTTATAACGGATTATTTAATTCGTTAATACGGATTACTAATTCGTTATTACGGATTATTAATTCGTTATTACGAATTACTCATACGTTCTGAGTCATTACTCGGCAAGTATGGCACAGTAGTGTGAGTGTTTCATTCGGTGGCGGTGTAAAGCATGGTGCCGGTGTATATAGCGCCGCCTAGCGGCGCTATATACATAGGCCCCTGGTCACGTGCTCTCCACGTGTGAGAACATCACACTTAATTCGTAATAACGAATTAAATAATCTGTAATAACGAATTAATAATCCGTAATAACGAATTAAATAATCCGTTATAACGAATTAATAATCCGTAATAACGAATTAATAATCCGTAATAACGAATTAATAATCCGTAATAACGAATTGAATAATCCGTAATAACGAATTAATAATCCGTAATAACGAATTAATGATCTTCACAATTCTTCATCTCTTCTTAACTTCACTCTTTTCGCCGACGACACAACCATATTCTATTCTAGCTCTGATGTTACCTCTTTGATAAACACTCTCAACTCTGAACTCAAGTTGATGTCTTCGTGGTTTAAAGCCAATAAACTTTCTTTGAACCACAGTAAAACAAATTATATTTTTTTCAGCAAGTCGGCTCGTCCTCATGATATCAACTTGTCTCAACTTGTAATTGACAATATTCCAATCAACAGGGTCTCTTCAGCCAAGTTTCTGGGTGTCATCATCGATCAAAACCTTTCCTGGACCGAACACATTTCTTCAATCACCAAAATCATCTCTCGAAACACCGGCGTTCTTTCTAAACTTCGTTTCTTTCTTCCAGCCACTTCTCTGATCTTACTTTATAACTTTTTTATTCTCCCGTATCTAAATTACGGTAATATAATCTGGGCGCGTACCAGCAATAAGAAACTGAACGCTTTGGCTGTCGCACAAAAAAGGGCCATTCGCATTTGCACTCTATCACATCCTCGGGACCACTCTGCACCTCTCTTTGCACATCTACGCACCCTCACTCTTACTGACATCAACAAATTGCACACTGGGATCTTTATGTACAAATTTACTAACAATCTTCTCCCTCGCACATTCTCCTCATACTTCACCTCAGTTCATGAAATTCATGATTATTCAACAAGATCCCGCAATAATCTGTTTGTTCCCTTCACTCGCACCTTGTATTCTATCAACACCCTTCGGTTTTACGGTCCTCGTTTATGGAATGCCATCCCCAATGACATAAGAACGGAGTCGTCCGTGGGTCGATTTAAGATCTCTTATAAACGAGTCCTCCTCTCCCATTATGTAACATAGTTTTATTTCTCTCCTTCATATCTCTCCTTTATTTCTCTCCTTGTTTATTCACGTTTGAAGTCGTCATCGGTTTTTGAATTGATAATTTTTGTTCGTATTTTTTTGTTCTTTTTGCCGTTAGCTATCGTCGCGTAAGTCTTTTGTCTTGTCTATCTCGTCCGTGTGTTGTTATCATGTTGTTTTTCTGTTGTTATTGTTGTCTGTAAGGGCTGTTTCCTACAAGCCTCGGCTTACTTAAACAGCCCCATACTCCTTAGTTTCTTTTGTACATAAATCGAAATAAGTTTAACATTTCTTCATAGCGTATCTTACTGGTATTAATTTTCTTTCTTTTTTGAGACATATTTATTGATTTTGTTATCTTGTTATTTACCAGGTTTTCTTTTTTATTGATGGATGTAATTCTCTAAAATAGTATGGAATAAATGTTTTCTTGAATTGAATTGAATTGAACGTACCGACAAACAAGGCGTTATATTTGAGGTCACGGCCACCCAACAAACAATTGAAGCTGGTGTCCTTTTTGTACAGTGCCATCGTGTGAACTTTGAAAAGTATTTTTAGGCTTTCCGCTTTGGCACAAAAGATTTCCGTCACTGATTTCAATGACAATGACTCTGAACATGTTGCACAAGTTGAGGCAAGAAAAACCAAGCCGACGCAATGATTGGAACCTCATTCGCACCAAAGACATTTACACATATTTTGACGTGTGTACCTTGTATAGGAGAACGGAAGTTGAACGCTATGGTCTTTTTCAAGCACAGGATTTCCATATGAGAGGATTTTTTTTAAAGCAAAGGACAAATAAATATTGGCCTAGAATATGGTCCAAAATCAACTGTCTGAAACCAAATAAGTTTCAAACTACCTTGCAAGTATCCAAAGACCAATAAGGTTTGTGTGATTGTAATTTTTGAATGTAATCATTTGAAAAGTAGGCAAGTAATTTTACTCAAAACTTTTAGTGAATCTACAAATATGTAGTTTGACAAATATCTTTCAATATATTGTCCATTTCTTGTCCGTTTGAGAGACACTCTTGACAAGATCAATGTATTTTTTTAATTTCACTACAAGGTGATCTAGTTTCCTACAGCAGTTTAGAGTGCGGTATTTGTATTCATTCATTGACGAGGGTATTTTCTATGACCTATCTATATTTTGGGTTCCTCAATGTATAAACAAAATGGATTCAGGAATCACTTGAAGGTTTGCTATCAAGTAAAACAAAAAAATAATGTTATAATTACTACAACATCGTTGAACTCATTAACAGGTCTGGATCTAAACCCACGGTAAATGTGATAATTACAATGCTTTCAATATATAAACTAGAGATGAGTTTGTGGACAAACACAAGCTGTTTCGGATATTCGAAATACTCTGTGCACGTTATGAACAATCAGTGACGTCACTAAAAATGTCATCTATAACAGCACATTATACGTACATGTCAAGTTATAACCAAATCGAAAATGTAAGTCTGTAAATATAGGCCTATAAAGAACAAAATGCCCCTTTAAGGGACGTCACATGACATTTGATGATGACATCACATGAATTTGTCTATAACCCATCTCGGCATTGGTACGATCGCGAATTTCTTCTAGGACCATCTGTGGGTGATAGTCTAAGTGTGTACCAGGTCTAACGTCGATCGCATAATTTACAAAAGTGCCAAAGTAGAGTGTTTTAAAACGTGTACAAACCCTATGGGGAAAAATACATCTTTAATGTGATGTAACCCAACACCTGATGACGTCACGATCACGAATTTCTTCTAGGACCATCTGTGGGTGGTGGTCTAAGTATGTATCAAGACTGAGGTCGATCGGATTTACGAAGGTGCCAAAGTGGATTGTTTTAAAACGTGTACAAAACATATGGGGAAAAACGCATCTTTAATGTGACGTAACCCAACACCTGATGACGCCACGACCACAAATTTCTTCTTGGACCATCTGTGGGTGGTGGTCTAAGTATGTATTAAGTCTGAGGTCGATCGCATTTATGAAGGTGCCAAGGTGGAGCGTTTTAAAACGTGTACAAAACATATAGGGAAAATGTGCATCTTTAATGTGAAGTAACGTGACACCTGATGACGTCACGATCTCGAATTTCTTCAAGAACCATCTGTGGGTGATGGTCTAAGTGTGTACCAAGTGTAACGTCCATCGGATTTACAAAAGTGCCGAAATGGAGCGTTTTAATACATGTACAAACCCTATGGGGAAAAATGCATCTTTAATGTGACGTAACCTGACACTTGATGGCGTCACGATCACGAATTTCGTCTAGAACCATCTGTGGGTGGTGGTCTAAGTAT